TCCAAAACTTAAATTATTCTTATATATTCGAATTCCATTTTGAAGTAATATTTATTATATGTAGTTTTAAATAAATTTTCGAAGAGATTGTATCCGTTGCTCCGCTTTTAATAAATTTTAGTATATTTTTCGATTAAATAATTTGTTCGCTTCTCTTTTTGCTGAAGCTGATTTAAAACATGCCTGGTCGATCAGTTTCTTGATTTGCTTGTTTCTCGAAGAACATGGCATCCTAAAAAAGATAGAATATATTAATTTTCATTATTTTAATTCATGGAATCACACTAAATTAAAATAATTTTAAAGACATCTCTAAAATAGTGCGTAACACATGATTCTAGCAACAAATGCATATCGTTCACAAAGGCCCTAACAAACATTTTTTTATTTTACAGGAGAAGTAAAAATCATTAGGTATAGAACGAGTATCGATTATAAAAAAGTGGCATATAACTTCGTTGTTTTCGGTACTAACACTTAAACACTTTTTTTTTTGAAAGTGCATTTTAAGCCATTTAACGCGGTTTCGAAAAAGGTTGGTTAGAGCCTTTGTAAATTAAAGTGACCATATGTATGTATCATAAGCTTTTTAGCTTACAAGGTTGAAAATTGCTTTTTTATTGATCCATTTTAAATATTTTCCCCTTGTAATCGTATTTTTATCTTTTAGTTTTTAACGCTTTAATACTATACAAAAAGTCTAGCTGCATAAATTTTCTGGCCACCTACAAACATTCACTAACTAAAAAATTATTTAATTTTTTTTATTTTACCTCAATCCTCAAATTCTTCGACGAAAACGATTTAACAGTTTTAAACGATAGAACTTAACGCTATATCTCTACATATGTACATTAATAATAAATTAAATATATAATTTTGCTCAAATGAAAATTGTGTAATCATTTTATTTTACACTTACAATAAGGAAAGTAGCGCCCAATAAAACCGCCTTCATGCGCACATCCAAATCCATTGGAAAATTAATGCCAAAGAAATCAGCATCGGTGAATAGTTCGCGTGCTAAACCAGACCACTGCTTTGAGATCTTCCCCACAGTCTCCCCGGTTAATGAAACAACCTAGAAGAAGAAACAAAAATGTTACAACCACAAAATCCATATCTTAAAACATTTCTCTATGCAATACCTTGAATTCTACATCACCACACATTGTAAACGTACAAAATGGTCCCTCGATGCGCAACACCGTATCACCAATATGATTTTTAATAAGAAATG